ACCGGGCCCACAACCTGGGCATGTGCCCTGACCGGGAATTGAACTGGCAACCTCTTAATTTATGGGTTGAAGTTCAACCACTGAGCCATACCAGCCGCACTAGCAAGATAATTTTTTGACAAAACATGTATCTGGATTAAAATCCAGCTCTCTGCTCTGGAAATGCCAGGTATCTCAGTTGGTTGGAGTGTTGTCCCATACTCCAAAAGGTTTCGGGTTCCATTCTCAGTCAGGACACATACCTAGGTTTCAGGTTCAATCCCCAGTAGGGGCACATGCAAGAGGAAATGAAATTGATGTTTCTCTCTCCTTCTCCCTTTCTCATTGAAAATCAATAGAAATGTATCCTGGGGTGAAAATTTAAAAAAATACAGTTCTCTCAATACTTAGGGCAATTAACAGAAATTTCTACTTCATAGAACCCCCATAAACCCCTACAACGTAATTTAGTTTTCACTCTTCAACCACAAGTACCACTACCTTTACAATAACCCCACATGGCCACAAACTGATACAATTTATAATGCAAATTAATGAAACCGGTTTATAATGTGCCATCCACCATTTATAGAAATAGACTTGTTATAAAGAAGCCTCTTTGGTAAATATGAAGTGAATTTACCTGTATTCTTGATACAACTTCTTCAGGCATTTTTAGTTACTCCTTTAGAATGCGTTATTATATTTTTAAATTACAGAATATCAAGGTTATTCATATTGAAAAGTTCTTTGCTCTGAGGGAAGAAAAACAAATTCCAAAACAGTACATAGGTTTGTTTTTTCCCTCTGCATTTTTGGTTCCGAGGAAAATAACCGTATCATGTATTTCATAACACTTGGCATTTAAACTCGCTAACAGATGCTACACATAATTAATTGAAAACATTCTCAAATTTTTACATACTGTATTTATTTATTTATTTATTTATTTTTATCCTCACCTAAGGACTTTCTTCCATTTTTTGTTCAGGTAGAGTGGGAGGGGAAGAGAGGAAGAGAGAGAAACATTGACGTGAAAGGGACACATCGAGAGGCTGCCACCCACATGACCAACCAGGTTCGGGGACAAACTGCAACCGAGGCCCGTGCCCTTAGCGGCAACTGAACACAGGTCTCTGCGGCCAACGCTCTAACCGCTGAGCCAAACTGGCCAGGGCTGTATATTGTATCTTTTTAAAGTAATAAGATATGTAATGGATCCTGCACTTAAGAAACTTCATATACCCTGACACAGAAACAATGGATTACAAACACTTATTCCATTTTTTTGAAAAGCCATTAACCAACATAAATGTAAGGACTTAAGCCTGATATTTAATAGCCTGATAATGTACATTCCTATAACTTGCCTGTGGTAACCAAATTGAGGAAAACAAGTAACAATTAGAACTTTTAAAAAGAAATGATTTTCCTTCCTCAAGTAATTTCAGTATCTTAACAGAAGATATAATATAAAGTGCCTTGGTTGGTTTGGCTAAGCGGTTAGAGCGTCAGCCCGTGGACCAGAGGCCCAGGTTCGGTTCCCACTAAGGGCATGTACCTCAGTTCCGGTTTGTCTCCAGCCCCGGGGGCATGTGGGTGGTGGTCACTCGGGGTGTCTCTCTCACACTGATGTTTCTCTGTCTTCCTCCCCCTTTCCCTCCTACTCTATCTCAAGATAAATGCAAAAAAAAAAAAAAGTCCTTGGGTAAGGATTAAAAAAAAAAAAAAGATATAAAGTAACAAGAAGTGTTTTTTATTTTATTATTTTATTTTTTTTGTACGTGCCCCTAGCGGGAACCGAATCCGGGACTCTCTGGTCCGCAGGCCAACATTCCAACCGCTAAGCCAAACCGGCCAGGGCAAGAAGTCTTTTTTAAAACATGACAAAATGTATGCACCCAAAAACAAAGTCTATCCAGAGGGAATCAGGTAGATGAGTAAGAGTTGATTTTGGTTTCAATGGGGGAAAGGAAGGCTTATTTATTTTTTCTTTAAAAGCACCAATTTTCTTCAGTGACTCTGAATGCAATTTGAAACGAAGACCACAGAACTGTACTGAGCTACAGTAGCATCAATGGCCTGAGTGTGTAGTCTGTCATACAGAGTAACTACACTGTAAGGTTAACCATGTTCATGTATATGTAGAGTTTTCTGTTGTGAGCCTAAAGAATTTAGATTTATCACTTTTAATCATAAATAATATGGTTCAGATTGTAATTCTTTTAGGATTAGGTTAACAATAAAGAGAGTAAAATGAGAACAGAGAATCAAGTTAAATAACACTATAAAGAAAGAAGCAAGCGATAAATCCAGAATATGGGGCATTCTATGAGATAACTAGTGTAGATGTTTAAAAAGTCAATGACATGGAGGAAAAAAGACAACATTAATCTAGATTAACAGAATAAAGGGAAATAAAAATGTGGAATATATATTCCTAGATTTTTTTTAAAAGAATGTATAAGTTTGGGGGACATGTGATAACATATTATTATAGAATTAGTTAATTTCCTTAGATGTATGTACTTATCCTCAGGAGAATATACTTATCCTTATAAGGTACATAATGAAATACTTAGGAGTATAATTTACAATGTCTACAATTTGTCTATATATAAACATACATAAAGAAATAAAGCAAATGTGACAATGTTAATGATCAGTGAATCTATACAAAGAATATTTCGGTTTCAATGTATTATTCTTTCAATCTTTCTGTAGATCTGAAAATTCTCAATGTAAAAAGTTGTTGGAAAAAGCACCACGTACAGTATCAGATATTTACTTCAAGGGGCCAACTCAGTAATATCCTACTCCCTTTCTTTAATCTTAACATCCAAAACAAGGGTTTCCAAATCGGCTATATACACATCTTAGGGCATAGACTGAAAGAACGAGAGATACAGGAAGAAAATAATTGAATTTGTATTCATAATTTTTCCATTCATCCTCTTAAGACTTCTATTTTTTTGGTATGTTTTATAATGTATCATATATATATATATATATATATATATATATTAGAACTTGTACAATTTGTAAATGCACATACATACACATTTAGAGGCTACATACCAAAAAATATTTGTTACTGGCCACGGGGTTTGTTCCACTTAGATGTCACTAGTTTGTGGGCACACACTCAAACTTTATAAAGGAAATAAACTAAGAAGTAAATTTACTTCACAGAAATTCATATTGTGGTTAGTTCATTTTATAAATAATTATATTCCCTATTTTTTTAAAAAGGCATATTTTAAAGAAAGATATTTTTGATAGTACAACACATATACTGGTCTTAACAAATCACTGTGCTCCTAGCTGGTCCTTTACTATTTCTGTCCTTGCCATGTCATCTAAAAAGATAGAAAACCCAGTGTTTCCTTTTCATTGAAACTTTTTCATCTGATATTAAAAACACAAACTAATGTAGTATCAGTTTTAAGTATTCATCATTAAAACCTTCATAAGCATACTAATGGGTAAAAAATATATACAAGCATTGTAATAAGGGTAGCTTTTTTCATTGTACCATTCCTTGACTTTTACAGGGCAAAAGGCAAACAAGAGAATATGTAACTGATCTCACAGCATGAAAGATACCAAAATAAAATGGGAAAATAATATATCTGCCATTGGTAAACAGGAATTTATCAAAAGACAAAGACAAAAATACAGTATGAAGGGGGAAAGTATATCAGTTAAACTAGACTATTCAAACTGGAATAAAGATCATGATCTGTTTGACAACATTGATCAAAAGACAACATATTACAATTTTTTAATGTAATGTGTGAATTCAAATTTTAAAATTTCTATTTGAGGGCAACAGACTCTCAAGTTAGGAAAACACAACACCTGGGTAAAACACTTGAAGATGGTTCTTTGAATTTGAAACTATAATCACCATTAAGACTCCTTGCCAAAAATGAAATCATTTGTCAGAAGGGAAAGAAACAAGTTATCTGATTATAACAGCCTTAGAAAATACAAATTAAATTTTCATTTATGGTATGAAATCTGTTAAATCAATTCATTTAATATGATGTTCAACTCGGTTTTTTCAGTTCTTTAAATAATAGTGTTAAATAATAGTACAGCACACCAGGAAAATTATAAATATTTAAGATTAAAATGTCAGTGAAAAACACATTTCATGTGGATTAAAGAAGAGCATTCATTGAAAAATACTCCTGAACAAGAAGCCAACACAATTCCATTAGAACTTTAAAAAGAGAGAGAGCAGTCCCATAATCCAGTTTGAAAGATAAGAATAAACATACAGACTTAAGCAAAGTCAGGAATATTGATTACGTTGAAACATCTGCTTATATCCATTTTAATGAAGAATTAAAGGATACAATGTGTTAAAGACATATTTAAAAGACTGGTAGTGGGATAAGACAAATGAATCATTTTTTTAATATCCTAAAAAATAACAAGAGACTTTGAAAATGTAGTGTTATTCATGGTTTCTTTCTAGTTTAAAAATTTCTACCCATTGCCTCTATCTTTGGTGTCAGTGCCACCAATAAACACAGTATACAGTTTATAAACCTAATTACTGTCTTCAACTAGGAAAAAGTAAATCAACATTATTTCTTTAAAAATAAAATATAAAGAACGTGATCCTACTTAATTTTGTGTCATGGTCCCACAGTGTTCTGAAATATCATGCCAAAATGTAAAAGTTTAAGGGGAACATCATTTGCTATAACTGCACCAAAAATTTAGCTACTGTATGCTGGTGTGATGACAGCTAGTAGTATGCAGAGGCTACAGAAAGACATAATGTACATAGGTTTAGCTCACAATCAGTCAAAAGAAACTTCATTTTAATGTAAAACCAAAACACTGACATGTCTTCATGTAAATATGCTACAGCTTTGTTCTCCTGCACTTTAAAAGGATAGTGTAATTATCTTAAATTTACACAAAATATTATGAAACATGGTAGTTGTTCATGATTAAAATAAAATAGCAATGCAAATTAATTTAACAGTGTTAAATATATTCACATGATCACCACTGTGATTCAGAATGGCCACTAATGAAGTTAACATAGCAATATATGTACATAACATTTGCCACAACAATTTTTGTAAGTTTGACTTTTTGCAGACCAGGTAATTCTGAGACAAATAATGTTGTATCAATTCTTTCATATTATGAAAGGAATTAAATGTTGTAAGTAGTTTCATTCCTGGGGGTGAGAGGGGGACCTCTGAAAAGTCAGTGCAAACTGAAGAGAGTTCTACCTTCTTGACAACATAATCTTGAATATCTGAACTGGTTGACCAAGACAGATTCCTATAAGCTGAGGATAAATAAACCTTAAGATATCAAAGAATCTCATAACATTGTCAGCGGCATTTAGCAGATCAAAGAGGAATCCCAAATCCTATAGCAGAGCCTTCTGAGAATATGGCTGCTGTGGCTGAGGTGGCTGTTGACTGCCTCCTGGCTGAGGCAGCGCTGATGATGTTAAATTATAGTTTGGCACATGGGACATATTAGTTCCTGCATTCTGGTATATAGTGACGTCAGCGGCAGCAGCAGCAGGAGGAGGGCTATATAATGAAGACTGGGTGGGATATGTATTTCCTTGAACAGAAGTGACCATTGAGCTGTGGAAGGGAAAAAACATTCAGATCAATATTGACTGACATACCCATTTAGAGATAAACAGGAAAGCTATTTATTAAACACCCATTCAATAAATATTTTATTATATACTCACAATGTGCCCTGGCTGGTTTGGCTCAGCAGTTAGAGCATCAGCCTGCAGACCAAAGAGTCTCGGGTTCAATTCCGGTCAAGGGCACATACCTTGGTTGTGGTTCAATCCCAGCCCTGGTAGGGGTCGGGCGGAAGGCATCGAATCGATGTGTCTCTCACAATGATGTTTCTCTCTCTGTCTCTCTCTCTCCCTCCCTCCCTCACACTCTATCTGAAGATAAATGGAAAAATATCCTTGGGTGAGGATTTAAAAACCAAATAAATAAATACCAAAAATGTGTCAAATATTAAGTATTTTAGGCACTGGGATATAGTGAAAGAAGGAAAAAAGTCCCACCGTCATGAAGCTTACATTCTAGTAGGAGAAAAAAGATATACAAATTTATAATATGTCAACCGGTATGAAGAAAAATAAAGTATAGTAGGAGGACCAAGTGTTTCTGAGACGAGATTCTGGCTTGTACAGTGCGTTAGGGAAAATTTCACATAAGGAAAAATTTAAGCAAAGACCTAAAAAAAGAGAGAGGGAGTCATGTCAATTATATAGGAAAACAAGTTGATCAAGGAAAGAGAATGGCAAGCACAGAAGCCTTTGAGAAAAGAAAATGCCCGGCACATTCAAGTACCAGAAAGGAGGCCATGATGGCTAAAGCAGAGTGAGCAAGGAGAAAAGATAAGATAATGTGTCAGAATTAAAGGGGAGAGGAGCCTTAGAATATACAGTGCTTTACAGACCATAGTAAGGATTCTGGAATATATCTGAGTGAGATGGAAAGACACTGGTTGATTTTGGATAGAATAACGTGATTGGATTTAGGTTTTAACTGGCTCACTGTGGGCCAAGGATACAAGAAAGAATATCTGACTTAGGCTACTATAATTGTCCAGGTAGAGCTGACAGGTGGCTAGAGCCATGGCAGACTTGGTGAAGAGGAGAGGAAAGGGAAAGATTTTGAAGGCATTACCATCAAAATTTGCTAGTGGGCAGAGTGGACAAAAATGCTTGAGGTTTTAGAGCTGAATGGTAGAAATAACTGGTAGAGTGGGCATTCACTAAAAGGACTACAAATGGCAGATAAGGACTACAATAAACCTGGGGAAGGAGAATCAAAGTATAGTTTTGGACATGCAAAGTGAGATATCTAGGAGGTTTACAAAACGTAATGAATAGGTGGTCAGCTATTCAAGTCTACAGACCAGTGGAGAGATAGGACTAGACATATATATTTGGGAGTCATAGCTGCACCTGGTGTTCAGTCATGGGCCTGAATAAGATCCCCTAGGAATAACTACAGAGCAAAAAGCAATCCATGGTTTGAGCCCTATACCTAGAAGTCAGGAAGATGGAGAAGCACTAGGCAAAGAAGACTGAGGAGTGGCAATAAAGTGGAAGGAAAACTAAGAGAGAATGGTTATAGTCAAGTGAAGAAGTATTTCAAAAAGAAAGTGACCACTGCATCTGGCAATAAGGAAATCACCAGTCCTTGACAAGAGCAGTTCTGGTGGACTAGGGAAGATGAAAGCCTGATAACTTTGTTTCTCTTATTTTCTGAAACTAAAGAAGCAAATAAAAGAGACCTTCCATCTACTCCCACCACCTCATTTATCAGTGATCTGTTCCTACACCGTTCAGATGCCGTGCCTTCCCTCCTGCTATAACTTGTCAGCTGTCGATGGTCCCATGCCGGCGCCCTCCACCTGCACACTGCTCCCATTCCACCAAAGAATTCCTTCAGAGCTGTCTTCATCCACTGCCTCTGCTTCCTCTCACCACACTCCCAGCCTGGTATTTGAGTTTCTACCATGTGTCCGACACTAGCTTAGTTATATAAAGAAAAATACTAACAGCTTTAATGTTGAGATCCACCCCCCACATTTTTATTAAAAATGTAAAACAAACTATAAAATGGGAAAATTTCAAAATATTGCCTGTTTCTAAATTCTTCAACTGCTATACTGTTTATAAATCAATTGCTGGTAAACTCTGAACAAATTAAACAATTCATTATTATAATTGGTGGTCTCTTAGTGCTAATTTCCACCAACTAATGTAGCCACTTAATGCTCAAAGGCATCACTCATTATTATTCCATATGTGTTCCTTTGTGAGATAAAAAGTATTACAAGAAATCAGATTTTATGCTTATTATTTACATCAATAAAGGTCACAATACTACTATAATATAATGTTGGAACTAAGTGCTAAGCTCTGGAGCCAAAATGCCTGGTTTTGTATCTTAACTAAGTGGAACACCTCCATGCTTCAGTTTCCTCATCTATAACATGGAAGAATAGTGTATCTACTTCAGAGATTAAAATAAATGAGTTAATACATGCAAAGCATATAGCACAGTGCCTGGCATTTACTAAACATCCCAATTAAGACTAGCTATTATTGTAATTACTTGCACTTTGGTATATATTCCTTATATCAAATTATAGTTCCACCATTTACCCAATTGTCCAAGGGCAAAACCCAAAATTTACCCAATATTTTCTCTTATAGCTGCTCTATCTCCTCAGCTTGTCATCCATATGCAATCATCTGCTAATCTCTTAAAAAACTCTTATTCTATCTCTATCATTATATCCTGTAGTTAGACAATTTATTGTCTATTATACAAAGTCTCCCAGCGTCTAACCTAGCGACTATGAATTCACCTTTCCTATTGCCATTTAAAGCCCTTTGTGGGCTTTCCCAGCATGACCCAAGCTCCTTAACATGGTATCAAGGACCACTCATTATCTTTGACTCCAAGTATATCTCCAAGTATAACTCCAAGTATATCTCTCATGTCTCCCACCACGGACTTTAATCCTTTGGTAGGATGTGTTTTCGCAACTCCCCATTCCACAGGTACAAGAAAAGGTGCTCAATTTCACAAATCATCTACAAATCAAAACCAAAATCAAATACTACCTCACACCAGTTAGAATGGCCATCATCAAAGATAAGAGATAACAAGAGTTGACAAGGCCGTGGCTAGTTTGGCTCAGCTGTTAGAGCATAGGCCCGTGGACCAGATAGTTCCAGGGTTCGGTTCCCGCTAAGGGCATGTACCTTGGTTGCAGTGTGTCCCCGGCTCCGGTTGGGGTCGTGTGGGTGGCAGCCACTCGATGTGTCTCTCTCACATAGATGTTTCTTTCTCTCTCTCCCTCCCTCTCACTCTATCTGAAGATAAATGCAAAAATGTCCTCAGGTGAGGATAAAAAAATAGAGTTGACAAGGATGTAGAGAAAAGAGAATCCTTATGCAGTGTTGATGGAAATGTAAATTGGTGTAGCCACTTGGAAAATAATAGGGAGGTCCCTCTCAAAAAACAAAAAATTAAACTACCATATGATCCAGCAGTCCCACTTCAATCCAAAGAACTGAAATCAGGGTCTTATAGATCTGTACCCCCATGTTCACTGCAAAACTACTCAAAACAGCCAAAATATGGAAACACCCTAAGCATCCAACAACAGAAGAATGGGTAAAGATGTAGTGTATGTGTACATACACACACACACACACACACACACACACACACACAGGAATATTATTCAGCCATGAAAAAAAAAAGAAACATCTGACATTTGTAACAACTTGGATGAGACCTAAGGACATTATGCTAAGTAAACAGAGAATGATAAACACTGTATGACTTCAGTTACATGTAAAATCTAAAAAAGTCAAACTAAGACAAACAGTAGAGTGGTGGTTACCAGGGGTTAGGGAGTGTAAGAAATGGGGAGATATTAGACAAAGGGTACATATTTCCATTTATAAGATGAACAAGTTTAGGAATCTAATGTACAATATGGCAATTTTAGCTAACAATACATTATCATGTACTTGAATGTTGTTGAGAGAGTAAACCTTACACATTCTCACCACAAAAAAGAAATGGTAACTATGAGACGGGATGAAGGTGTTAGCTAATGCATGGTGGTAACCATTTTGCAACATATAAATATATCAAATCAACAAGTAGTATGCCTTAAACTTACATAATGTTGTATGTCAGTTATGTCTCAATAAACCTGTGTGGAGGGGAAGAAACTCACTGTTGTATGTCAAGTGTCTAGCGTGGTATCTGGCACAGACTAAATGCTCAATAAACACCTGTTTAACAGAGTAACTTGAAATAATAAATAAGTACACAGCTTTGGTCACCTGAGTACTATTATTATCACCATCACTATAGGAGAGTTTAGGAAACTGCATCCATACTACTTCCCCAATGATCAGTAAGATCATCCTAGGGTGACACAGTCAGGAAAAGTGATAACCCTAGAACCAAAATTATAAGTAAAGAATAAGAAATTGCCTCCTAGATATGAACGAGGGTCACAAAAAAAAAACTGCCCACCAAAAATGGGGGAAAAAATTCCCCACTGACCTTGATCTGCAATCAGAAAGCTTGAGTCAAATACAGTTGTTTGTACAAAAAAATAATACAATAATTAATAAATAATAATACAAGAATAAACTTGGTGTCTTGCAAACTCATAACTTGAAAGCTACTTTTGCCCCATCCTGTACAACTGTTCTTATATAGAGTATGTTACACATTTATATATCTTTTTAAAAACCGCCTCAAAGCTTTTGTGAAGCCTTTGTAAAGAATTTAAAATATATCTTACTGGCCCAATACAGCACTTCAAATTACCATCATAAGCACTTATTTACCAAATATTTACTGAGTTCCTACCAAGTATACAACTTTGTGCTACACAAAAAATATAAAGGTAAAAGAAACTGCACTCCAACTCTCAAGATGTAATAGCTTAGTGGGGGTACAGACAAGTCTAAAGGTGATTATGAGACAGTACGCAGTGTGCTGAGATCCTGTGACAGCAAGAGAGCAGGAACAGTATTGGAGTGATGGGAGGGTGTTCTAGTAAAGACGAAGCTAAGAACAAATAAACATGAATTAGTCAGTCAAAGTGGGCTAAAGATTTCAAGGAAATGCTCTACACAAAGCACCTGTTGAAGTGCACACATGTTTCTTGAGAGCTAACATTAAGATACAGTGTATCAGTACAGTAGAATCAGGCCCTGGAATACAGTGCAGGCCCTGCACCAGTATTTCACATCCAGACTGTGGAAGCAGAAAGAACCACCCCTAGAGAACAGCAACAAGGTGTTACAGCTCTGCAGCATGGCATGTTTAAATACCTACCAAATGATTCTCTCATTTACAAGGAAATTTCTCAAGGCCCTGAACTAAGAAAGGATCTGAAGAACAAGGTGGCTAGAGCAGTATGTGACACAGTAACAGAGGACTCGTTGGAAAAGAGGCAGCATTTCTAGATGACACTAAAATATCTAAGAGGTTCCTGCATAAATCATGTACACTGGCCGGTTTCTCTACAATACCTAACTCTACTCACTTTGTATCTGGTTTTTACGGCAGCATGCTCTTCTCCTAACAATAGCTGCTCCCTACCTGTTTGCTTCTTTTCCATGTAAGGGTCCTCATTTTCACCAAATTTCAAAGTTAAAAAAAAGTCCTGGGACAGAAAGAGCTATACCTAACTTTTTTTTTTTTTCTTCTGTGCTACACTCAGGGAGTATCTTATTTTTTGATAGTATAATAGGCCTCCTCACTATCCTCTTTCTTACAGTCACTTCATGACACTAGATGTAACTAGAAAATAATGTTTGCAAATCCCTAAGCATCCCCAGAGTGTGGCTTTTTAATTTAAATTTTTTATTTTATTGTTTCTTTACTGATTTCTAGAGAGGGAGGAAGGGAGAGGGAGAGAGAGATAGAAACATCGATGAGAAAGAACACTGATTAGCCACCTCCTCCATGGCCCCACTGGGGATCGGGCCCACAACCTGGGCATGTGCCCTAACTGGGAACTGAACTGGCAACCTCTTGGTGCAAGGCTTGATGCTCAGTCACTGAGCCACACCAGCCGGGCCAGAGTGTGATCTTTTGAGGATGAGTAATAACAACAGTAATAGTAGTACATAAGCATTCCTTGGCAACTCCAATATTGAAGAAAATGTTTCTAGAAATTGCACCTGTGCCACCAAGAAACATTTATTGTGAGTCAGAATAACATGATTTCTAGAATTATACACTGATGAACACTAAAGCCTATCTTTTGTTTCGAGAGAAAGACTTCAGCTTAGATTCACACTAAAGCAGCATTTATGCAATTATAGATTGCATAATATATAATCATGTAATTAACAGAAATAATAAGTAAATCACCAAAACAATGAACCTGTCATTTTATATTCAGATACTTGCCTCATGAACCATAGGGATAAGTGGTTTCTTGCAACATCCCTTTTCAAATGATTTATCTTGCTACAGTATATACTAAATTTCAACACAGGGCAAAAAGAAGGAAATATGTGTCTCAGAACCATAAATTCTGAAACAATAATAACAACAAAAACATACATATCTTCTATGAAATTTGTGGGAAATGATATATAGTTATCAAATCTAAGTTTCATTCAAGTCTTTAGCAAGTACCATCATAAACTCAAATAAAAACAAAAACGAACACAACAGCAGTTTAGTGAGTCAGTATGACAGAGGACTGGTTACTGGCTAGTACTGCAATACTGCAGGAGTTCCTGTAGAACTCACTCATCACCACAAAAGAGTTAACCATCTGGTATCAGTGATGACATCTATTCTGGAGTTTTCTTATCCAGTTCTTATGGTTACAGATGATCAAGGGCACATAAAAATTTTGCCCTGGCTGGTGTAGCTCAGTTGGCTGGAGTGTTGTCCCATACACCAAAAGGTGGCAGGTTAGATTCTCAGTCAGGAACATGTCCAAGTTGCGGGTCTAATTCCTGGTTGAGATACATATGGGAGGCAACCAATGTTTCTCTTTCACATCAGTGTCTCTCTTTCTCTCTCTAAAATTAAATATACATATATATACATATATATATATATATATATATATATATATATTTTTTTTTTTTTTTTTTAAGATATTTTTAAAAAGAATATTTATAGCACTAACTCCAAATAACAGTCAATAATCAAATTACTTAGGGTAAGAAGCCTGAGTCTGCTGAGTAGGAAGGACTGGGTTTGCAGATGGTGGAACTGCTCCTTGGCTGAGAGAAGACAGTTGCTCTGGAGGAAGACTGTAGCTCTGGATATGGCTCATCTGGGCATTTCCTGCAACCAGGTAAGCACCACTTTGAGGCCCTGGATATACCTAGAACAGTTCATGACAACACACATTAGATTTTCTAAGGTTTTAATAGGCATGCCAAACTCTTTGTAGAGGCATTCAGTTACAAAAAGAACAATTACATCCCTGAGATCTTTTTCCATTGTTTCTTCTGCTGACAGGTATTAAAAAAATTTTTTTCAGAGAAGTTGGCTTCTGACGATTTTTATTCTTAGGTAAACACTGGCTAAACTCATGTTTATCTTTATCCAGAAGCAGTAAAAGAACTTATCTTGATACTTTATACTAACATAATCTCTTTTCCCATGTTGATATTTTAAGTACTTCCCTAAAAGGAATCCCAAAGGATGTTTAAGAAGTATCTCTGATTCATTGTTATATCAATAAACTGCATTTGCTTAGACATACAAGTTATAGTTCCTAAATTACAGTTTACTGAATACAGAGCAAACCAATTTCCTAAAGCTGGGCTCAATCAGCAAACTTTTCTGTAAAGGCCCAGAGAGTAAACATTTTAGGCTTTGTGGGCTACACAGTTTCTGTCACAACTACTGAACTCAACCCAAACAGAGAGCATCCAGGAACAATTCAACAACAAAAGAGAATGACTGTGTTCCAGTAAAAATTTATTTAAACAGATGGGAGGCTAGATTTGGCCCTTGGGCCATTGTTTGTCTATGCCTGCTCTAAAATCTATACTTGTCTGAATCTAAAGAGACTGAAGCCTTAAATTCCCAAAGTCTTAAATACACATGATGTTCCAGTTTTCTGTAGTATTCCTAGATCCCTCCATTTCACAGGTTTGATAACAGAACTCCCATATCTATGTAGTTAAGATAGTAACGCAATCATCAGGAGACAAGACAACCATCATCTTAGCCCTTCTGTTAAACCCTAAGAGACTTACCATGCATCAGAATCCAAAAGGTCTTCATTGTAAACACAACTATTCCAGTCCGCATAAATGCATTTTTTTTTTTTTTACTTTGCAAACTGAACATGAAGGGTTGTTTTTGTAATTTTTTTTGGGGGGGGGGGTCAAAGTGATAGTAACACCTGTGTGCAGGCCTGGCTGCACATCTCCAGGGTTCTGGCTCCTCGTTTCAGAGAAAATGGATCATGCTAGAAAAAATTACTCAATGTTTGTGCCACTCTATATGGATAAAATGGAGTGCCTAGCTAATTGTTCCCTATACCCTAAACTCACAGAATTTGTGGGAAAGGAGCCCTTCAAATAGTTGCTTGAGGTGAAAAGAGGGAAAGGGCTCTGTGTTGCATTACATGTGTTATGTACAGGGCGGGGGTAAATCCAGATCAAAGCAGCTCACTATAAAACCAAAAACAGTGGATACTCAGAAGAATTTAGTAATAATTAGAAATTTTACTGAGGCAAAAACTACAGTTCTTAACCAAATAATTACATATAAAGCTTTAAAAATATACAGATGTTTGGGCCTTCCTCCTAAAGATTCTGATTCAATAGGACTGGGTGAAACCAAAGCATCTGTATTTTTTCAAAAAGCTAGATGGGTGATTCTGATGCGTATCCTACAGAAAAAATATTTTTTAAAAAAGAACTATTGGTATAATCGTATACTATACACTGTATAAGTCAAGTAAAAAATTCTTTTAAAATCTATTTTTATATTACCTTTAAAAAGTTTCTAATTTAATCACAAATATATCTGAGGATTTAAAATGACATATTTAAGTTTTTAAAAGCTTACCTGAGAAGCAGAAACACCAGATGACTGCATATAATACGGCTGATTCTGTAATTTTGCATACATGGAATACATTGGGTCTTCATTCATTAACTTGGTATATAATGAAAGTGCCTCCATCACTTTAACATTAAGTTCTGAGAGTTCTGAATGTTTTCTGAAATATTATACAATTTAAAACATAATTGCTATTTAAATAATACAATGCTGTAAATAATAAGGCACATCAAAATAGCAAAAAGTGATAATAGTAGACATTAAAAATTCAACCTTGTGACATAAAATATCCTATATTTTAGCTCCAAGGCAGCAGAAACTAAGATTTAGGTACTGTGCTGGGAGAGTTTATTGTGCTTGACTTTAAAATAAAATGCCCCTCATAGTGAACATAATTATAATAGTTAACCCTTATTTTTTTTTTAAAAAAGACTAATATAGTGAAGGTCAAATAAATCCTAAACCTTAAAAAAAAAAAAGAAAGTGAACCAGGTCTAATTCTAATTCCTACGTCTAGTAGAAAACAAGTAAATGAGAACTAGCTCCTTTGGCATATAAAAATAATAAACATTAAAAAATAAAAATTCAAATGAAATAAAATAGAATAAAACTTTTAAAAATAAAATAGAAGGAAACAAATAAACAAAAATAGTAATAGATGAACCACAGAACTTATGTGCATGTATGCATGAACAGTGGACATGGACAACAATCTGGGGAAAGGGCAGGGAGGGAGGGGAAGGGGGGAATCAGTGGGGGAAAAAGGAGAAGCATCTGTAACAAAAATTAATTAATAAAAAATAATAATAATAAAATTAAATGAAATGGCAGCTCTATCCTAGTAGGCAGTTTACAGAGAACTTCAGGGAAGAAGGTACGTAATATAGAGATGACACATGCTCTTTTACCTATCGATATCTTCCAGCTTTTCATCAATGAGAGGTCCCATTTGGTGACACATTGCTAAGATGACAAGATTTGAAGAAATATAAGAAAATGCATGCTCATCTAATATAAGAAATACAAGATGTAACCGGGGGTAATAAAAATTATATAAACCTCAGCCCAGAGAACACAAGATTGATTTTCTTGATCTCAAAAATATTAAAATATCAATATTTATTTTACAACATTCTAAAATGTTGAATAAAATATTTGGATATTTTTAATAAAATATTTATTTTGAATAGAATAGTATAAGGATGTGAACTCTACCAAAGTTTTAAATGGCAAAGAAACATGAGACTGGGTCACAGAGGAATAATAAATGTTAACATTTTTTTATATCATTGTCAATTTTTATTTAAATATACACCATCTGTAACAGAACAGTAGATATAACCTCTAATTATCCTTTTTTTGCAAGGTAAATGAAAAACAAGGCTTACCTTCAAGATGAAGTAACTCTGGAAGATCTGGCTGATCGTCACTGGGATCTGTACTTTGCAACATCTGTAGTAATTGGTCCATTTTATCCTGCAGGAATTAAATAGTTAATATAAAAAGCAACAAATCATTATGCAACATGTTCTCACTTTGTTAATTAGATAATGGATAGAGAACTTTTGTAATTCATAAATAAGAAGACTCCAATTTTGTTTTCATGTGTTTAGTATTTGTGTATTCTCTTTAGGTACCATGTGAAGTCAGAACCTTGAAAGCTCTAGTACCTACTTATTTTTGAAAGTGCTAACAGAGATTCTCTCAAATGAGAAGAAATAGAATCATATTTAAACTGAGAATAAGTGAGTTCTTCAATCTCATATCATGGTAGTAAATTTCACTTTGTTTTGAAGCAGCTGTAGCCTTGACATGCTGACAGGTGTAACCTCTCTCTCAAGATGGCATTGCTTATGACTAATAACTCAGTTATTACTTCTCCCCCAGGGTGAATACAACAGCTGTTTTAGAAAGGCATAGCTCAGCTATACTACAGCTGTTCTCTTTCTAAGTAGGGCCATAAGGAATTAGTCTACATATTCTTTCCACCAATGTTTCAGTTTGTGGTCTCTCTATCCTCCTAGGTGGGAAAGGCTAGAACACATCCCAAAGCAATAACTTAGATCTATTTCAGATCGTTTGTTGTAATCACCAATGGGACTAATGAAACAAACCATCATTACATAAGTCCTCTATTCATTATATAAGCACATATGTATTATATGTAGGTTTTTAAAAATAAAAATATAGATCTTACACACCAAGACTACTATTGTAATGGTAGTTTTCTCCATGCATTGTTTTTACATGCTTATGCTATTAAACATGGGTACATTAGGTAAATAATGTAAAGACTACAAATTCAAAGCCAAGTAGTTATTTAAACCAAAACAAAAACTCTGTATTATATAAAAAAGAACAGTTTGAGAGATGAATTAATTACTAGAGACTGAAAGTGAAACAGCATGTAAGAAACTTCTGATTAAAAAATTTTTGTATTTTGAAATGGGTACTATTTTTAAATGTAAAAGATTCACAATTTTCCTTTGAAGTAGTCTAAAAATGAAGGCACATGTCAGACAAGTTTGCCTACAGCAAAAATAAAAAAATAAAATAAAATAAAAGAGGGCAGGAGGCTTGGTAAAGAGAGAGCAACTAACATGTGGACAACTTTTGTTGTGTTTACAGACTACTGTACCCTACTTGAAATTACCTACTGTCAGAGAAATAAGGTTTCTAGATAGACTCCTAAACTGATCCTACATCCATTTTCTTGTGTAATTCAATCAGCTAATTAACTTTCCCTGATCCAGCTGGACTCCTTGGCTCCCAGCACAGTCTTCTACGGTCTATTTCTGTAAAAAAGCACTCTTCAAACTTGCTGCTTCTGGCTCCCTTAAAAGAAAGCTAAAATGCTACAAATCCCTTCACCTATTTTAAAGATGACATCTCATTTTTCATCGTAAGTTTAAAATGTTATCAAGAATATAATCTCCAGAGTATTAAGTGCAGACATTTTGAAATAAAAGCTATACATTCTTTGAAATATATATATTTTAAAAATCTCACAACAGTGTTTGTAATAGCAACAAAAAACCACAAAAAAAAAAACGAAAACAACCTTAGTGTCCAGCAGAATAAAAAAACCATGATATATCAATTCTACAAAATATTAGGCAGAAATTTTAAATAATGAGGTACAGCTATATGTGCTGACATGGTAAGAATGGGACTATACTGTTTATATTTTTATAATAACAAAATACATGCATTAATTAGTCAATATTTTTAAAGAAGATAAGAAAAACATTTCAACTTCAATACCAAGTATGAATTGCTCTCATGAAGAAAATCACTTACTTCATCAATAAAGGCTTGTTCCGGCTCTGGCTCTATTGTTTCTACCTGAACATCATCACTAAATTGTACCGTCTTCTTCTCCGTTTTTACTGTAAAACATGCAATATTTACCTTTTCCTTATAAAAATTTTACAATTCTATTTGAGAAAACTTTAAATTCCAAGAGAGAGTTTGAGTTTTTTTAATGTTCCCTTTAAGCTGAGAGACTCAATTTAAAGAATAATTAGGTTGACTAACAACCCTCAGAAGAGGGGGTGAGGGGGAGGGAAGAGATAAACCACAGAATTTATATGCATATAATCAATATATGCATAATCAATAAACATAGACAACAAAGCTGGGGACGAGGTGGGGAGGGGGGTGGGTAGCAGGGTGTCATGGGGAAAAAAGGGGAAACATCTGTAACAAAAATAAATTAATAAAAATAATTTTTTAAAAAAGAATAATTAGGCTGCAGATTTAGGCAATAATGACAAAACATTACTTCATGCCAAGATTTCTTAATTTTCTCTTCTAAAGATTTTACATTTTCCATAAAAGACAATTAAAAATAAGAGGTATGTTTAAAACAAAGATTAATCACCTACTATACAAGAGTTTATAGTAAATTAATGAAAAAAAAGCAAAGTTTTAAAATGGCATAAATGAACTCTGCAATTTAAAATAAATCCTCTTTTCAAATTATCCATCTTTTCAAGAAATAAAAAATCTCATTTGATAGCCCATGCCATTTCAGTGCAACGAACTGGAAAGTTAGCTGTATGTTCTCCAGCATGCCACTCGGACTTTTTACTAAGAGAAAGACATCCAGTCCAGTGGAGAACCATAAAGATGGCCTTGGCAGGGATCTGAATTTTCCACTATATCAGCCTGTATTTTTTAGTTACAGTATTCTTTGCAATGAAAAAGTGATTAAGGGACCCACAAACCACTGGCCAGAAACTCATATTTCTCTTGCTCCACAAAGCGTACTTTAAAAATTTAGTCAATATAACATTAACTAATACATATAAGGATATGATTAACAAAGCAACTAACCTTCTCCAAAAGAATACTTAAAGGAAGTGTTCGCCTGGCCAGTGTGGCTCAGCGGACTGAGAGTTGTCCCATGGACTGAGAGATCCTGGTTCGATTCCCAGTCAAGGCACATGCCCAGTTTGCGGGCTTGATCCCCAGTAGGAGGAGTGCAGGAGGCAGCCGATCAATGTAGCTCTCTCACATTGATGTTTCTATCTCTCTCTCCCATTCCTCTCTCTCTACAAAAATCAATAAAAACATATTTTAAAAACAAAAAAATGGACATCCTCTCTGAATTTTTCATCTTTTTATCAATGTGGTCAATTAGTATCATAACAATATTAAGAATCAAGATGAGCCCTGGCCAGTTTGGCTCAGCAGTTAGAGGGTTGGCCTGCGGTCCAGAGAGACTCAGGTTCGGTTCCTGCTAAGGGCATGTACCTCAGTTGCAGTTTGTCCCCGGCCCTGGTTGGGTTGTGTGGGTGGCAGCCACTCAATGTGTCCCTTTCACGTCGATGTTTCTCTCCCCCCACCCCACACTCTCTCTGAACAAAAAATGGAAAAAAAAAAAAAAAAGAATCAAGATGAAAGGAAGGTGGGCAAGGGATAGAATTAAGAAAGGGAAATAATATCTATTAAATTATTGAATGTGCTTAATGGAATACATATTACATTTCCTCTCCAATGAATCTACAGTACAATCCTATGAGGCCCATTTCATAAATGAGGTTAACAGTGGCTTAGAAAGATTATAAATTCTTGCACAGGTGAAAGCTAAAAAATGGCAAAGCCCGGATTTAAATGCCCATTTATCTGGCTCCACTAGCCCACGCTACTGAAATCTGGCCTGTGATTTTACTCTGAGAACAAGAAGTCTTATCACTAACATATTCTGTGTTGTGTGATTCCATATAAAATGGAAATAGTTCAATTTATCCCATATAAGTCACCATAAAGCAAAATTCTACATATAAAAGAAAGTTTCAGCTGATTATATTTTCTCATGGGGAAAAGAGATATCTGCTATACATATTTTTGCTTTTTATATCTTGAGCTATTAATAAGTAGAAAGCTGGTAGAGCACTGTATCGGCTGCTATCCATAGGAGACACACAAATTTGCCATGCTTTTTCTCACAGGAACTAATACTAGGTACATATGTGTATGTGATATGTATGTTCTTTGTAGTATTCATATATGTAAACGATCAAATACTTTCACAATATCTAACTGCATCTCCAAAACAAAAACAAGCTAAGGAGGCCAGGTATTTCTATTTGACACATTAAGTGAAGTGTGTTTCTTGTTTCCTCAAAAAGAATGATGCTACCTGCGCCTGGCTCGTATGGCTCAATTGGTTAAGCATCATCCCACGCACCGAAAGGTAATGAAAATACATATTAATTCCCAGTCAGGGCATATGCCTGGGTTGCAGGCTTGATCCCCAGTAGGGGGCATACAGGAGGCAGCTGATCTATGTTTCTCTCTCATCGATGTTTCTATCTCTCTCTCCCTCTCCCTCTAAAATCAATAAAAACAAATTTGAAAAAAATGCTTAAAAAAACAACAACACTAGCACTTGTTTTCCAAACTCAAGAACTGTAACTAGTACATAAGCTCTGCTACTTCTGTTTCTCTTTTAGGTGGTCCAGAGTGAAACACACATGAGATGAGTTAGAATACCTACTTTAAAGTGCAATGCTATTCAAATGGGAAAAAAGATGAGATAGCTACATGATCTACCTGAGCTCTTGGATCTCGTTGTGAACAGAAGTCAGAGACTATTCTACCCTTTCCAACAGTTGATTCAGTATAAGAAAACCCAAACCCCAAAAAACAAACAAACAAAAAAACACCATCAGCCCAGGTTAAAAGTGAGTACAGTACCACTGCCATTTTAAAAAGGTTATACAACATGTTTTTTTGAGTTCTAACAACAAAAAACTCCATTAAAGGAATAGGTATCAGGAACCTGTCTCTATAAAAATGACAAAAAAAACAACAACCACCTAGCAATAACTATGTGAGAGGGCATCATTCTTATCAAACATTCATAACATCTGCTTTGTTGTGAAAGCCTTCTCATGAAAGAGAAATATTCTTATGTTTTTAAAGAAAATATCACTTTATTGTTAACATATATATCTCTCTCTATATATATATTTATAATAAATATATAAATTTATTTAATACTTATACAATAAATGAATCATTTATTAAATGCCTTTATAATAATAAATATATAAAAATAAATTTATATATTTATTGTATAAGTATTTACATATCACTTACTATATTCTGGATAAGATTTAGTACTGTTGCAGTTGAAAAGATGACTAAGATAAAGAACCATTCTTAAAATTCTTATAAACTAAAAAAGACCTAAGCGTCCTGCAGTTTGCAACTTTGATTCCTTCTGTCATTATATAGACAGATGAGCTGAGATGAGATATTCTGCCAGATAACTGTAGCTTACCAACATATTTACAAAAACTTTTAAAATTCTAAAAATGTCAATCACTAATAGAAATCTTTCTAGACTAGAACATATTTCTGTTTCCTTAAACGAAGGGAAGATATGACTTAATCTAGATGACTCAAACTCATCATTATGAAGGTTCATTAAAGTATAGAATTATAAAAAAATAGTCAACTGTCTAGCAAGGTTTTGATAGTCTAGCACCAGTTACATATCCTGCAACTAGCATGCCTGCCAGTAATATCACTTCCTCCTTGGCCCTACTTTCTAGTTTATTTCTCCTACTAAGCAAATATTTGGAAATAAAACAAAAAAACCCCTATTTATATGATTAATTATGGCTGCTTCTGAATATCTGGAATGAGGGTTTAGGAAAGCCATTATTGTTACTTAGAGGCCAGTTTCCAAGTTTGAGGTTAGAACACTGGAGAAATGGTCTCAACCTTTAAATACGAAGAATTCTCTCTGAGACTACACTGCATTTGTCACGTTTTTATCCATTGTGATAATGAAAATACATATGCATAAATTCCATTAATACTTTTTAGTGTGCATTTTTACAACAGCACATGTATACATACATATGTGTGTGGGTAGATACATAGAGAATTTTTCTTTTTAAAGAAAAAGTCCAGCCCTGGCCAGTTTGGCTCAGTGGTTAGAGTGTCGGCCTGCGGTCCTGAGAGACCCGGGTTTGGTTCCCGCTAAGGGCGCGTACCTCGGTTGCAGTTTGCCCCCGGCCCTGGTCGGTTGTGCGGGTGGCAGCCACTCGATGTGTTCCTTTCACATCGATGTTTCTCTCTCTCTCTCTGTTCCTCTCTCTCCCTCCCACTATACCTGAATAAAAAAATGGAAAAATGTCCTCGGGTGATAAAAAAAAAAAAATAAAGAAAAAGTTCAGCCTGGCTGGTGTGGTTCAGTGGATTGAGCACCATGCCATGGACTGAAAGGTCCTGATTCGATTCCTGGTCAGGGCATGTGCCCGGGTTTCGGGCTCGAACCCCAGTAGTGGAGCATGCAGGAGGCTGCTGATCAATGTTTCTCTCTCCATTGATGTTTCTATCTCTCTCTACCTCTCCTTTCCTATCTCTCTAAAGAAAAGAAAAGGATTATCTATTATCCATTGACAGACTGGAAAATACTTACTCATTTCTGGCTCAGCAGTGAGATCTGCAGTTACAAAATTAGAGGGAAACAACCCCATGCCTTGATGGGTTTCACCTTTCCACCAGTTGGGATCACTATGAGGAACAAAAAAGAATATTTGACTATAATAAAGATTTTTATTACTACAAATCTTTACCTTTTATAGTGTTTAACTTACATTATTACTAGATTTGAATCCCACGACAATCCAGTGAAGAATGAAATGAATATATCATTATTACAAATAAGAGATGAGGCCTCAGAGAAAATAAGAAGTTATTAAACACATAGTTATTTATCTTTTGGAAGGCTGGTAAATGCTTTAAGGATCTAATGTAAGACTCTAACTCCCCCGCAAAATACAAGGTCCCCAGACTTAAGAATTGTCAACTTCAGGCTGTTTGTAGGCTCCAATGTAAGAATCCTTTGTAATAAGATATCTTGCCCTGGTTGGTGTTGCTAAGTGGTTAGAGCATCAGCACCGAAGGGTCTCAGGTTAGCTTCTTGGTCAAGGGCACATACCTGGGTTGCAGGTTTGTTCCCTGGCCCTGGGTGGGAAGTGTTCGGGAGGCAACCAATCTATATATCTCTCTCCCATTGATGTTTTTCTCTCTCTACCACTCCAACCCTTCCACTCTAATCAATGGAAAAAATATCCCCAGGTCAGGATTAACAACAACAACATAAAGATATATAGTAGGATCTTAATAAAAATGTCCATTCTTATGCTCTACCTAGTATATACCAGCAAATTTTTCGCCACAAGAAAAAACATATGTCAGATGACAGTTTATAGCACAAAACATTCACAAAGAACACACTTCAAGGTGCATACCCATGTTCTTTGCTGTATCCCAGTGTCTAGTCTAAGACAAGCTAGCAAGTTCTCAATAAATATTTCTGAATGACTGATCAAGGTTTTGTGCAATTTCCAGTAAAACAACTCACATGACTTCATTTTCTTCCATTCAAGAAACTGTTGTGTGAAATTACAGAAATAACCTTAAATTTATTTGAATTTATTTCTTAAAACCATTTATTTACAGATTTTAGTATTTCATTATTAGTAACAATTTTCATGTAAACATAAGCTGTAGTAAAAGATGCACCAAATCACCTCCCCTATAAATGTATATACATCTATATGTCAAATAAATTTGTTACAAACAAATACACAGAATAATACATAAATTCATTATATTCTGTATTTCTTACAAATTTCATAAATATATATTTGGTATATTTTCTAAAATCTTAACTTTTTTACTAATTTAATGATCTATATTAGATGGAACCAAAAATGAACAGATTAAACTAGGCCTCCAAAAAAAAAAAAAATTAAAACTATTTAAATAGATTTAAAAAAATTAAACTACAAAATAAGATTCTAGCCAGTATAACTGTCATAAAAAGAAAATAGCTGGATCAGTATTTTTTTTTTTATTGCATTTGGTGACAGCATTCACAACAGAAATAATACGAAACACAAAAGTAATATGTTATATATTTGCACATGAATGTTCCATCACCTGTCATCAAGAACGGTAATGATTTCTCCAGCTTTAAAAGTAAGTTCATTATCTTCAGCAGCTTCAAAGTCATATATAGCACGAACTTTTCGGCCTTCATGTTGGTGGTTAGTTAAGAGATTGGATGTGCTTGGATACAAAGTAGAAAGGGTAGTGGACTGCTGCCTTTGTTCCTTCAGGGACAACTCAATGGCTAGAAAATAATGGGTTTAAAAAGACCCAAAATGTTAATATATCCAATAATTCAAAGAAGTACAAAAAGATTATCTGAAGGTAAAAAGTATTCTCTCAGTAGTGTAACTGGAACCTACAACTCATTCTGACATAATATACTGAACAAAAATCATTCATCAATTTTTTCCATTCATTCACAACTGAAAGTTCAAAAAAATAAGCTAACAAAAAAATTGAACAGCACGATAACTATTTTTTACTTGAACAAATACAATTATAATAATTCTGGGTAATAAAAAATATAAACTCTTAGATCCACTTTTTAAATTTTAGCCGCAGATATATTTTCTTTGTCTTTTCAGTGTATTCCTATATCCTAAGTTCCCAAAATGAAAATCAAAATCACTTGGGAAGTAGTCTCAAGCCTCAATGGGGACTTACTAAAAATTAAGAGTCTCAAAGGTAGTTGCTGAGAACCTGTATTTTATTGCTGCAAAGATATATATAATCAGTCTAAGAATAGAAATTTAGAAATAACTACAGTAAAATCTCACCTAACAAATTCCCCAAAATAGATTTCAAAGGAGTGTCTTCTATCTCCACCACTCCTCCCCCAGTGCAGGCCATCACTATGTGTCACTCAGGCTCTGCAATGTAATCTTAAAGGATTGATTACTCTGCTTTCAAATCAACCCTTAGCCATTTCTTCCCTTCCACCTCTGTTCTAGATCGATAAAGAAATAAAAGATTTAAACTATCATAAGAAAATATAGGAACATATCTTTAAGGATCTTAAAGTAGGAAAAAATATCTTAAAACATAAAAAACAAAAATAATAGAAAAACAAAAACTTGTTTGATTATATACACCATTATCAAACTTAAAGTATAAGCCAAAAATCAAGAGTATGTATCTACTATAGGTATAACAGGCAAAAGATCATCCAAAATAAAGGCTTTCTATATATCATTATTTTCTTTTTTAAAAAAGAGACTCAATAGAAAAAGAGAGACCATCAGAAAAGCCAATAAACACACAAAAAAGGACTCAAGCTCACTAGTAGTAAAGGAAATAAAATTTAAAATAATGGGACATTTCAAACTTATCAGATTCATAAAACTTAATCTCTAGAAATACCAAATGTTGTCAGGAGGTTAAAAATAATAGGCCCTGGCTGGTATGGCTCAGCAGTTACAGACTGAAGAGTCTTAGGTTCAATTCTGGTCAAGGGCACATACATGGGTTGCAGTTTTGATCCCCCACCTTGTTTGGGGTTAATGGGAGGCATCCAATCAATGTGCGTCTCTCACATTGATGTCTCTCTCAATGTGTGTCTCTCACATTGATGTCTCTCTCTCTCTCTCCTTTCCACTCTAACTAAAAATCAATGGAAAAATATCCACGGGTGAGGAGTAAATAAAAAAAAAATAACATTGTTGATGGAAGAGGAAATAAAACTATTTAGCAAAGTTAAAGATATGCCTATCCCATGAGCCAATACTTCATATGTCCATCAGTAGGAGGAGAAATTATAGTATGTATTTTTTAGTACAATGGAATATTATACAGTAGTTTAAACAAATAAATATGTCTAACCATTGAGTAGATCACAAGCGTTGCATGAGAAAAACAGTTGTAGACAGATGGTATAGAGTATACTATTTATGAAAAAAATTTTGTTGGACACAAAAAGCATTTGCTACTGTTTATGGATATTTATGGGTAAATTGTGTAGTAAAAATACTGACTGGTAAGACATAAATGATACTCTCCTTGGGAGATGAGAGGAAAGAAGTGATACTAAGGGAAACAAAGTAGATTTCAGCTTTAGCTGTAAAGTTCTATTTCTTTCTTTTTTTTTTTTTAATATCTCAGGATAAAAAAAATTAAGTAAGTGACCCATCTTCTCGCCATCATCAGGGCTTAAAAACATACCTTTTGCTAAATCTTCCTCTTCTTTTTTGTTAGCCACAGTACCAGGATCCTTGGCTACTAGAGCTGGGCTTGCCTTTGCTTGTTCTGCAGCCTAACACACAAAAAAAGAAACACAGTATGTGAGAGTTGATTTCAAATATTCCTAACCCATCTCATCTACAAAGGTGCAAGATCTTTCTTGTCAATCTAAAACAAACTTCTGAAGAATAAAGAAATCCAACTGGAGCAACCTAAGAAGGGAAGAGTCAGAATTGGAGAAAACAAACTGAGAGCAATTGGATACTTAGAGCCAATAGCCTAATGACACTGTGGCAGATCTGTGTAAAGAGGTTGGACTAAAAGCAGACAGTATGCAAACCAAATAAGAAAAACTAGTTTTAAAAATTTTTAGAAAAATTATATAACCAGTTTAAAAGGGGTTGAGAGAGGAAGGAAGATGACTATTTTAAAAACAGACAGCTTTAACAACAATTTTAATGTATACTTAAGATTTATACTTTATTGCTTGCTTCCAGCTCAAAAGTCAGAATGTTATCTTCAAGGAGCCAGATTTATATATAACAATATAAAAGCTCATAATATTATACTATATGGCCCTGGCCGGTTTGGCTCAGCGGTTAGAGCGTCAGCCTGTGGTCCACAGAGACCCGGGTTCGGTTCCCGCTAAGGGCATGTACCTTGGCTGCAGTTTGTCCCCGGCCCTGGTTGGGTCGTGTGGGTGGCGGCCACTCGATGTGTCCCTTTCACATCGATGTTTCTCTCTCTTCCTCTCTCTCCTTCCCGCTCTATCTGAGTGAAAAATGGAAAAATGTCCTCGGGTGAGGATTAAAAAAAATAAAAATAAATATTATACTATATGGTAAACCAAAATACAGGTAGTTAATTATGGAAATATATTACTATCTATTTTAAATATATTTTGTAAATATGATAGTATACAAGTAAATAAATATACACATTGATTCACACTTATGGAATTATAGCTGCTAAGCCTCAATGGCCTCTTAGTTTTTCCATGGCAATCAAGGTAAATCAGACTCCAGCCTGTCTTACCAGTCTTATTTTCAACCATTTATCATTTACCAGAAACTGCTAGCATATATATAGACATATTATAAGTATATAATACACACACACACACACACACACACACACACACACACATACACACACACATACATACACACTGGTACTTTACATCTCTGACACACATTTGCTTCTCCTTATAATGTCCTCCCCTCTGGCTCCTTTTACTCCATCCACATTTTTCCCTGTTGAGTTTCAACTAACTCATCAGTGGCGAAAGAGCTAAAATATCACTTTCTCACTGAAATGCCTCTTAATTAAGCATTTCCTCCTCTGTGTTCCTCTGATAACACTTTCAAACAAGGTGCTATGATATGAGTAGTTAAAAATGCAGGTTGTAGAGTCAGGCAAACATAGGATCCAATGCCAGATTCACCACCTTCTAATGTAGGGCCTTCCATACATTGACCTCTTTGTGCTTCAAGTCTCTCATTTACAAAATAAGGACAATAACAGCACTTATACACTACAGGATATTAAGAGGATTAAATTAACACCTGTAGCTTCTAAAATTAGATAAAATGGGGCTATTCAGTGTTTAAAACAGAAAGTATAACACTATCTCCTGGGATTTATAATGTATGTAAAAGAATATATGTCATACAAAGATGACTATAGCAAAAAAGATGCTGAAGTGGGGAATAGGTAAAACCTATACTGTTGGAAGGTTTCTACATTTTACATAATACAATATTTACTTAAAAAAGATTTTTAAAAGTTACAAATGTATAATTCCCAGAGAAACCAATACAAATGAAATTCTAATTTTAAAATGATTGAGTGAATGAAAGGCAGAATATTATAGTAAAATAGTTCTATATTCTTCACTTAGTATATTTTATAATGCCAAACAAATGCACAAAGCATTTATTTTTAGAAAAGCTGATTACAAAAAAGCTTTTTATAACTCACTGCATAAAACTTCAAGTACCTTCTATACTGATCCATCTCTTGTTGGAATCTTGTAATCATTATACAACTTGGAAAATTGAAGATACGCTTGGTCAGAGACAACCTTTCCTATAATACATAATTTTTTTTCTTAATTTGGTGAATTTCAAAACAGACATATTGATCTTTTGTGGTCTATGAAGAAATCTCTATTGGTCCTGAAGAGACGTGCAGAACAAGCTGCATTAAGCCCTGCATTCCTGAACTGCACACTTTTCAAAGTTCCTTTCTATCATCAGGTTCTCAGTGTAGCAATAACACTTGTCTTATTAACTAGCCAAATACAGTAGTAGCAGTGTAGCATTACTTTTATCTCTATATCAAGTTAGTACTAAAAAAAATCACAACAGTATAAAAATAGGTGACTAAAGTATGACTTTTCTTAATATTTTTATATTATTTTCTTCTGTTCTTGGATAAAAATAAACTTTAAAAATCCTTATATTTTCAAAGACTTGTTAAGTATTCTAACAAAGATCTAGTCTGCCTAAATGTGATGACTTAAATAAATTAAGTGACTTCAAAATCTATAGGGACTTCTATAGTTGACCCTAGATGATACATTTTTTTGTTAAACATGAGGTTCTTTACAAACAGGGTTTTCAATGATACATTTTCAGAAACCACTATAAAAAAAAAAATCACCATTCTACCTTATCATATTTTACTTTATATGTATTTTATATATTTTTGTGGGTAAATGATAGCAACTATAACAAAATTAGCTTTCACATATTTTATAAAATCTAGATGAAAAGAAGAAAAGTAACTCTTGACTGTTGCTGATCTATGTCCTGAATCTTTTGAACAGGAGAGTAACCTAACTTTTATACCAATCAATAAATAAATGCTCTTGCCAGTGTTCACTCCACTTCCTGTCCTCTGAAGCCTAGTCTGGACAGACACATATCCACTAACCTCTATGTCAAACAGAAGGCAGGATCATGTAGTGGAAAGAACACTGGACTGAAAGTCAGGAGGCCTGTGTTCTACTTCCAGGTTTGTCAACTATTTTTGCCCAAGTGGCCCTGGGCAAGTCACTTAACCATTCTGGGTCTGTTTCCTCATCTGTAAAATGAGGGGATTAGATTAGAGAATCCTAAAGTTGTTCTCACAATTGAGATTCTAGGTTAACCAAACAATGTTATATATCCAACAGGTCCTTAATTCTTCCTTCTCTTACAGAAACAAGTCCCTTTGTGGATAGATATGCAGTTTTCACTTGCATTGAAAGATGTACTCTAGAACAGTGCTCCTCAGACTTCAGTGTGCATACAGCATCATCCGGGGACCTTGTTAAAATGATGTAATAAATCCATGGGTCTGGAGTGACAATTGAGATGCTGCATTTCTAATAAGGTTCCAGGTTGTGATGACGATGATAGTCAATGAACCACATTTTGAGAAACTAGCTCTAGAATAGGTTCTTGAGGTACAGAAACTGCAATTCCACTAAGTATCTACACTTTTTGGTTCTCCAAAGAATCTACTTTGATAATTAAACATTGCTTCTATTGTCAAGAAACTTGTAAGACTCTTGGATTATTCTGTATAAAATTATTCCTTAATTATACAGATTTTAGAAATTATTCTGAGAGGAGTAAAAGTCAGCTATCATGAATGAACACTTCTAAAAGATAATCATTATAAAATTATTCAGAAGCCAAATTTTTTTCAAGTTAGAAGAAAAATATCCTTTCTTCCTTCCTCTCCCAAGTATATTTCTGGTTTTTTACAGTTCAAAAGCACACAGATAAACCTTCTAGAAGTGCCTTGGGAAGAAAGTCTAGATAAGTCTGGATGAATCACTTCATGATTCCCTGAAGTGGTCAAAACCCTGAACTTGAGTCCTCCACAGCTGAGTTTTCTGCTCACGCTTTTATACCACTCATATTTTACCTCAATCCATACATTTTAAACCTGCTTCATTAGTTGTGCATCCTAAAGAATGGTTACTCAGAATAGAAAAAGAATAAAAGAGAAACCTGTTCTTTTTATTTTTTTAATCCTCACTCAAGGACATGTTTACTGATTTGAGAGAGAGAGAAAAACATCAGTGTGAGAGAGAAAGATCAATCAGTTGCCTCCTCTACGTACTCTGACCAGGTATTGAACCCAAAACCCTAGGTGTGTGCCCTGACTGGAAATCAAACCTGCAACCTTTCTGGTGTAAGGACAATACTCCTATCAACTGAGTGAGCCACCTAGCCAGGTTCCTTTAATTTTTTATATGACATAAATTAGAGATTGGTTCATTATATAATGTTTCTTTTAAAGGAAAGTTAAGCCTTTTAGTCAATCATATTTATTAGGATAAAGGAAAAAGATGAAGGCACTGAAGTTTTTATTAAGGGAAGTGATATTTCCTGTGTTTCTCTTCCCACTGACCCTTATATCTCCTTCCCACTTTTAATACAGGTATTCATTAATTTCATAATCAAAAGACCTCTAAACTCATCCTTACATTTTAAAATTTTATCCTGATTTTTGAGTTGTCATTCTTTTCACCCCAGGATATTTTTCTATTTATCTTCAGATAGAGTGGGAGGGAGAGAGAGAGAGAGAGAGAAACATTGACATGAGAGGGACACATCGACTGGCTGCCTCCCGCACGACCCCTACCAGCGCCGGGGACAAACTGCAACCGACTCATTGGTCCACGGGCCAATGCTCTACCACTGAGCCAAACTGGCCAGGGCCGAGCTGTCATTCTTGCAGTGGTTTTCAACCTTTCTAATGCAGCAACCCCTAATCCAGTTCTTCATGTTGTATATGGGCATATCTGCATGTGGGTGGACCCGTCTGGAGACGGATAGAGAAGCGGTATCTCGGTTCCTAAGACCATCGGAAACATGTGTTTTCTGATTGTCTTAGGTGACCCCTGTGAAAAGGTTGTTCAACCCCTAAAGGGGTCGCGACCCACAGGTTGAGAATTGCTGTATTAAAGCATAAAGAGTATTCAACGAGATTGTTTTACTTGATATAATAAATGTTGTCTATATTATAACTAAATTAAAAAAACATTTAAACTGCAAAATGTTAAAGCAAATTCATTTATAAAAAAGAAGAAACAGTGGAAAAGTAGAAGTTGGAACACATTAATATTCTATTATATTTTTATGGCACCTCTAAATGCAAGATTGTTTTTACGGCACCTCTAAATCTTTTCCCCACTCACAATTATTAACAAAAATTCCTTCAAAACCTACCTGGGTTTAGAGGGGAAACTTTTTTCAAATAAACATGGCTACTTTAGAAAAATAAACAGTAGCACACACACAACTTTACAAAATTACCTGAGAGCCAATTGCTGGAAACGTAACTCCTTGTTCCTTAAGGTTCTTAATCATTGCCGATATTAGACTAAGCTGTGGATCATTCTTAAATTCATCTGTCCATTCAACCATTAGGGCCTTTAATTTTTCACACACTTTAGGATGACCCTAAAAATAGAGAAAAAAATTAATACAATTTTATCTGGAAATAATCTGTTGATAGAGAAATATCAGTAAATAAAAATCTGTTTGAATTGTAAGTAATTTTAAATGGTTTTGTTATTTAATTTCCATATAATTAATGTTTTCATTAAAGTTTTTTCATACCAAAAAATTAATTAAAAAAGTACTGACTTCCTGGCCAATGATTTAATATAAATAGCTTAAATATAAAAATTATGAAGTGCTGTAGAACTCTTTTTAAATCATTAATTACCCTTAGCTATAGGCGATACATAAGAAACTATCATTAATTATTAAAAATAAACTAATTTTATTTTTGCACTACAAAGAATTAAGAGAAGATACTTTCATAAATACCTCACATCAAATTTGAACACATGAAATAGGTAACAATTTATTTTGGAGGTCAGAAAGACAGAACTTTTCAGAGTATTTTGCAACTAATAAAGCTTTGAACATCAGGAAGATAAAGAAAGCAGTTTGTCTTGTTTTTGTGGACCAATATTATAAAAATAAGTTAGGGGTACAAGTCCTTTATTCCTAATTCCTGAATTTTAATGTGCATTTTATGTGTTTATTCCAAATTACTTAATTATTTCAGGTCTGATTTGAGGTCCACTGCATGGCATACCTCTGGAAACTTCATACCTCTGGAAACTTTATTCCTTCAAAAAACACCTCACCTGAAGTATAAAACCAGTATGTTTATTCTAAAACATTTGGGGCCCTCCCTCCCAGAAGCATGCCCACCCCATGGCCTTTCCCCTCCTGCTCCCTTGAGGCGCCTCACCTTTACCTTCTTCACTTCTAACCTTCAAGGGACTGTCCTTTGTCTCTCTAACTTGTTTGTTTAGTTATTATTTTATTTTTTTATCACCATTTATTCCCTCTATGCCTCTTCCACTTCCCCCACTCATGATTACCATACTGTTTTCCATGTCCATGAGTTCTCTTTTTTGCTCAATCTATCTTCTCCCCCCACCCCCCACCTTCAATTAAATTAAAGAAAATATTACAGTCTCTTCATAAACAATGGTATATTTTGTTAGATATTTAGGACATTAAAAAAAATTGTTGCCCTCACCGGGTGGTTCAGTTAGTTGGAGCGTTGTTTCTTATACCAAAAGAGTTCACGTTTGATGCCCAGGTCAGGGCACACAGCTAGGCTGCGGTTCAACCCCCAGTCAGGGCATGCACAGGAAGCAACCGACTGATCTTTCTCTCTCACATCGATGTTTCTTTCTTTCCTTCTCTTTCCCTCTCTCCCTCCCTCACTCAATCTCTCCATCCCCGCTCCCTCTCTCTAAAATCAATAAAAACATATCCTCCTCAGGTTAGGATTAAAAAAGAAAAAAAAAGGTTATTAATTAGTAGATAGTATCTAAATATAATTTAATAAAGCAGAACAGGAAAATGTATCACGTAATTATGTTTGAGAAATACAGAATTTTAAATTCTTATCTCATTTTTTACTGTTTTCTACAAAAACCTGAAAATGCTCATTTTTCTTTTTATTATTATTAGTATTGTTTTTTAGGAAGAAAGGAAGGAAAGAAAAAAGAAGGAAAGGAAAGAAGGAAGGAAGGGAAGAAGGAAGGAAGGAAGGGGAAAGAAGGGAAAGGAAGGAAGGAAGGGAAGAAGGAAGAAAATACTAATTTTTCTAAAAAAAAAAAGCACTTTCCCTTTTAACACTTAAAATTTTTTTCTTGATATATAATACTGCCCTCACCCCCCCCAGAAAAATAGCCAGAAATAATTACCTTTAGAATGCACAGATTTTTACTGGGAAAACTCATATATTACTTAGTAACTTATATTTTTTTAAGTCCTTAAATAGCAGGATTTGAAATCTTTTTTTTTTTTTTTAATCCTCACCCGAGGATATTTTTCCATTTTTTTTTTGGTACAGAGTGGGAGGGAGAGAGAGAGAAAAACATCGATGTGAAGGGACACATCAAGTGGCTGCCACCGGCACAACCAACCAGGGCCGGGGACAAACTGCAACCGAAGTACGTGCCCTTAGCGGGAACCGAACCCGGGTCTCTCTGGACCGCAGGCCGACGCTCTAACCGCTGACACAAACTGGCCAGGGCAGATTTGAAATCTTTATTCTACATTCAGTGTATTAAAATCCTATGATGGCCTTATTCGTATCAATATGAAACTCAACAGTGCCAAATTTTGACAGTATTTCTGAACATTTTTACATTGGGAAAATAATTCTGTGGCTACAAAAATGGTTACAAAAACTGTGCCTAAAATCAACTGGTATTATTTAATCAGAGAAATACACATATTTACTTATCAGATGAAAGAAATGACAAAGGAAATAGGTTAAATATACTCTAATCTGGCTTTAAAAAACCAACTTTAGAAGTTATAAATTTGTACTCTCTTCAGCAAAATGTAACATTTACTTATATATTGGATAGACATAACCTAGAGTTTTTTTTTTAAAAAGCACAGACTAGTCCTTTGTGATTTAAATGTGAGGAATTAACAAAATACATAAAGAAAAATCACTGTCTTAATTCATTTCTGGGAATAATGCTCCTTACCTTGTTTAATACGTTGCTTACTTCACTAGCAAAATCTCTTGAACATACTTCTAAATGAAAAATTTTGCCACAGTTTGATACACATGCTCCTAGAAGCTAAAAGAATAAATTCCAAGTTAAAAGGGCTCAGTTTCAGTAGGTAATTTTGAGGTAGAACCTAAAATCAAATCACTCACAGTCAGAGCTTGCATAGCAACATGAGGATCTTTATGGTTCACTCTCCTCATAATAGACCGAAGACAATCTTTAGGTCTAAAAAATGAGAAATGTAACAATTCAATTAGTAGTATATCCAGAGTTTGCCAACCCCCTTAGCTATAATAGACAATAGAGTACTATACAAAAGGGAAAATATGGTAAAGAAGTTTAATTTTTATTAATGACACAATTGAAAAACTGTACACTGACAAGTTCCTTTAAATTTTTTGAACAAGCTTAAGAGACTCTCTTCCTTCACAATCATAAATTAGGCACTTTAGGCTCATCCTGGGTGAAAAATATTTTGAAATAAAATGGTAGACCAAGACTTCCACTCCCAGTCATGAAACTAGACTTATATTCCTTCTATAAACAACTACAAAACTAGAAAAATGTATGTAAAATATACATTGAAGTAAATGTTTAGTATGCAAGACCACAGGCAGTGTATAATGATGATCTCTAAGGAGGAATATAAATTAGATAAGCCAGACCTTTGCCTAAACTTCTACCTTAGATGCATTTTCCAGATATATCAATACAAGCTTTCTGCCTAAAAAGAGTTTCTGGATCTCAGTGCAGAAAAGGTGATCCCAAGAAGAGAACAATGATTTCACGGAGTTGAGAGGACAGAAATCAGAATTCGAAAGGCTTATATCAACATAGGTGTCCATTCGGGCTGTTCTGAGAAAAGCCAGGTATGCATAGGTGAAAAACACCACATGGCTGGGCAAAAAGTGAGATCTATGTGTTCAAGAACCAAAAATAAAAGGACAAATGTTGTATGACTCCACTTATGTGAAGTACCTAAAACAGGCAAATACATAGAGAGATAAAATAGAAGTCATCAATGGCTGGGGGGGGGGGGGTGTGTGTGAAGAGTTCTTATTAATGCATACAGAGTTTCTGTTCGGGATAATGTAAAAGTTTTGGAGATGGATAGTGGTGATGGTTGAACAACACGGTAAATGTACTAAATGCCACTGAACTGTACACTTAAAAATGGTTAAAATAGTAAATTTCAAGTTACTTGTATTTTGCCAAAATAAATAAAATGAAGAAAAAAAAGAATGAAATACTGATACACACTACAACATGGATAAACCATGAAAACATTATACTAAGTGAAAGAAGCTGGTCACAAAAACCACATACTATATCATTTAACTACATTACTGTATGATTCCATTTATATGAAATGTCTAGGATAGGTAAGACCATACTGATATGAAGTAAATCAGTGATTTCTGGGGCTGAGAAGAGGGAATGGGAGAAAATGCTAAAGAATACAGGGCTTATTTGGGGGTGATAAATGTTCTGAAATTAGATAGTGGTGACAGTAGCACAAACACATGAATATACTAAAAACCAATGAATTGATTAATTTTATGATATGTGAACTAAATACATAAATATAAACATAAGCACAAAAAAAGTATCATTATCACGTGATTTGAAATCGAATGAACCTTGGAAAATTAGGTCAGTAAGAATAATTACCCTAGGAAAGTACTTTAAGAATGGAAAAAAAAAAAAAAAAACAGGCTGATGTGGCTCAGTGGATGAGCATCAACACATGCACCAAGAGGTCATTGGTTTGATTCCTGGTCAGGGCACATGCCCAGGTTGTAAGCCAAATATCCAGTGTGGGGCATTGCAGGAGGCGGCCAATAGATGATCTCTCTTCTCAATGTTTCTATCTCTCTCTTCCTCTCCCTCTTGTCTCTCTAAAAATCAATAAAGAAAAAAAAAAAAAACTTTTTTAAAGAAGAAAAAAATAATCCTTCTTAATAGAGAAAAATTAGAATAAAAAACAAAATTCCTGTTTCTAAGGATGTTTCATTGCCTGTTGGGAAGTTCCCACTTGAAGAGTATATAGGGTGAGAAGAATAAACAAACAAATGAAGTAATGTTTATTAACTACCCATTATGTGTCAAGCATTCAACTGCTAACAATTCTAAAACTCTTTTTCTATTGATTTTGTATGATATTAATAGTATCTGAGCCCTGGCTGGTTTGGTTCAGTGGTTAGAGCCTTGGCTGGTGGACCAAAGAGTCTGGGGCTCGATTCTGGTCAAGGGCACGTATCTCGGTTGCAGTTTGGTCCCCTTCCTTGGTCAGGGTTGAGTGGGAGGCAACCAAATAGTGTGTCTCTCACATCAATGTCTCTCTCTCTCCCCAACCATCCCCCACTCTATCTGAAGATAAATGAAAAAATATTCTTGGGTGAGGATTTTTTTAAAAAGTATCTGACAGCAGCATTATTAGATTGAACATGTTATAATACTATAATTATCATTTAGAGTTTGCCTTTTTCATAGTAAAATTTTGAATACCATGTTGACATAAATACACAAAACTATTATTTTGTTGTTGTTAATTCTCACTTTCCCATTGATTTTTATTATTTTTTTTTTTTTATTTTTTTTTTTTTTATGAATTTTTATTTATTTTTTTGTTACAGATATTTTACCTTTTTACCCCATTGGCACCCCCCACCCCCCCCTCCACCCTGTCCCCGGCTTAGTTGTCCATGTCCATTGGTCATGCATACATGCATATAAGTTCGGTGGTTTATCTCTTCCCACCCCCCCACCCCCCATCCCCTCTTCTGAGGGATGTCAGTCTGTGCCCTACTTCCATGTGTCTGGGTCTACTGTATTCCTCAGACTGTTATGTTCATTATATTCCGTATATAAGTGAGATCATGTGGTATTTGTCTTTTTCTGCTTGGCTTCTTTCACTTAGGATAATACTTTCCAGGTCCCTCCATGTCGTCTCAAAGGATAAGAGATCTTTCTTTCTTACCGCTGCATAGTACTCCATTGTGTATATGTACCACAGCTTTTTGATCCATTCGTCTACTGGTGGACACTTGGGCTGTTTCCAGATCTTAGCTATTGTAAATAGTGCTGCTATGAACATGGGGGTACATATATTCTTCCTGATTGGTGTTTCAGGCTTCTTAGGGTATATTCCCAGCAGTGGGATCACTGGGTCAAATGGAAGTTCAATTTTTAATTTTTTGAGGTAGCACCATATTGTTTTCCATAGCGGCTGCACCAGTCTGCATTCCCACCAGCAGTGTATTAGAGTTCCCTTTTCTCCACACCCTCGCCAACACTTGTTGTTTGATGATTTGTTGATGGCGGCCATTCTGACAGGTGTGAGGTGATACCTCATTGTTGTTTTAATTTGCATCTCTCGGATGATTAGTGATGTTGAGCATTTCTTCATATGTCTCTTGGCCATTTGTATGTCCTGTTTGGAGAGGTGTCTATTCAGCTCCTCTGCCCATTTTTTAATTGGGTTCTTTGTCTTCCTTTTGTGGAGCTGTATGAGCTCTCTGTATATATTGGAAATTAACCCCTTATCTGATACATCATTGGCAATGATGTTCTCCCATACAGTGGGTTGCCTTTCCATTTTGATGATCGTTTCTTTTGCTGTGCAGAAGCTTTTTAGTTTGATGTAGTCCCATGTCTTCATTTTCTCCTTTATTTCTGTTGCCTTAGGTGATGTATCAGTGAAAATTCTGCTCCGTATGATGTCCGAAATTTTGTTGCCTACATTTTCTTCTAGAATTTTTATGGATTCACGGGTCACATTTAAGTCTTTTATCCATTTTGAGTTTATTTTTGTGTATGGTGTAAGTTGATGGTCGAGTTTCATTTTTTGCATGTAGCTGTCCAATTTTCCCAACACCATTTATTAAAGAGGCTGTCTTTACTCCACTGTATGCTCTTGCCACCTTTGTCAAATATTAATTGAGCGTATTGCCTTGGGTCCATTTCTGGGTTTTCAGTTCTGTTCCACTGGTCTATATGCCTGTTCTTGTGCCAGTACCAGGCTGTTTTGGTTACAGTCGCTTTGTAGTATAACCTGATATCTGGTAATGTGATCCCTCCAACTTTGTTCTTCTTTTTCAAGATTGCTGTGGCTATTCGGGGTCTTTTTGGTTCCATATGAACTTTTGAAGTATTTGTTCTAGTTCTATGAAATATGTCGTTGGTATTTTGATGGGGATTGAATTGAATCTATAGATTGCTTTGGGTAGTATGGACATTTTAATTATGTTAATTCTTCCAATCCATGAACAGGGTATGTTCTTCCACTTTTTTATATCTTCCTCTATTTCTTTTTTCAATGACCTGTAGTTTTCTGCAAATAGGTCCTTTACTTCTTTGGTTAAGTTTATTCCTAGGTATCGTAATTTTTTTGGAGCGATGGTAAATGGGATTGTTTTTTCAGTTTCTCTTTCTGTGAGTTCATCATTGATGTACAAGAATGCCGTCGATTTCTTGACATTAATTTTGTATCCTGCTACTTTGCCAAATTCATTTATTAAGTCTAATAGATTTTTGATGGAGTCTTTAGGGTTTTCTATGTACAGTATCATGTCATCTGCAAATAATGACAGTTTCACTTCCTCCTTTCCAATTTGGATCCCTTTTATTTTTTCTTCATGTCTGATTGCTGTGGCTAAGACTTCCAGTACAATGTTAAACAAGAGTGGCGAAAGTGGACATCCCTGTCTTGTTCCTGTTCTTAATGGAAATGTTTTTAGTTTCTGTCCATTGAGTATGATGTTGGCTGTAGGTCTTTCATATATGGCCTTTATTATGTCGAGATATGATCCCCCTATTCCTACATTGCTGAGCGTTTTTATCAGAAATGGATGCTGGATTTTGTCGAATGCTTTTTCAGCATCTATTGATATGATCATGTGGTTTTTATTCTTCATTTTGTTGATGTGGTGTATCACGTTTATTGATTTGCGAATATTGTACCAGCCTTGCATCCCTGGAATGAATCCCACTTGGTCATGGTGAATAATTTTTTTGATGTATTTCTGGATCCGATTTGCTAGTATTTTGTTCAGGATTTTGGCATCTATGTTCATCAGGGATATTGGCCTGTAGTTTTCTTTCTTCGTAGTGTCTTTTTCTGGTTTTGGAATTAGAATTATGCTGGCCTCATAGAACGTGTTTGGAAGTCTTCCTTCTTCTTGAATTTTTGAAATAGTTTGAGGAGAATGGGTATTAGTTCTTTT